GTCCAATTTTCCCTCTTAGGCCTAAGTTGGGCAGCTAAGTTCCCAGATTTCTGTTTGTTATTGCAGAAGCATCTTGATACATTTTTAAGCTCCTGTTCGGAAATTGGGAAACAAACTACTCTCTTCTGTCTCTTTCTTAGCTGATGCTGACAAGGTAGAATAAATGCTCTGCGGGCTAGAGAGATGCTTCAGTCAGTAAAGTGCTTGCAGTGCAAGCAGGAGGACCTGAGTGTGATCCCTAGCACCCAGGTAGAGAAAATAGACATGGCAGGGTGCACCTGTCCCCCCAGTGCTGGGGTGGTGGAGAGTGTGGCAGCAGAAGGATTCCTGTGGTTTGTTGGCCAGTCAATCTAGCCAAATTGGTGAGTTCGAGATTCAGTGAAAGACCATGTTTCAAAAAATAAGGCGGAGAACGATTGAGGAAGACACCCAACATCAACCTCTGGCCTCCATAGGCAGGTTTACAAATGTACATGATTACTTGCACATACATACATGTACATATGCATACATGAACACACACACATGAACACACACACACACATACACACACACAGAACACTCTGGTCCACTGCATCAGGATGGAACAAGAGTGGGATGTGCCTATTGCCAAATTAATACTGATTATTGGTGAGTATGGTTCTGGAACTAGAACATGAAACCAGGTACCTTGTTCTCCCCCTGCCCCATTATCCTCATGGTCTCAAACAGAAAGCCTCTGTTACACATGGTGTTTAGCAACCACAATGCTGTCAATGCCAGAGTTCTGCTATTCTATGGGTCAAGCAGGCTTTGGCAGCCTAGCCTGAGGTCTTAAGAGCCATTGATAATGTTGTTTCAATAGCAAAATCAATCTTGAGTTGAGCATAATTCATCCGCAGATGGTGACAACTTGGGTGCCTCTCTGTCTATATATATATATATATATAATAGGGAAGAACTTTTTAATATGATGATTTGCATTTATTGATTAAAGATTATATACACATTTCAATTCCTGGAGATCTTGTTCATTCTGAATACCGATTTCTCAACAGAATGACAGAGAACTCATTGTGTCTATTGGTGGAAGGCCTTGAGGACTAGCTTTGTAAGCTGGCTGATGATTATTGATCTGCTTTCCTCTGGCTTTAGGGGAGATGTGTCAGAATCCTGGCATGTCAGCAGGGAACTGAATGCCCTTCTTGAGTATAAGTACTCATAAAACTCGGAGAATCTGAATTCTCCTACAGGCTGTGCACCTCACTCCAATTTTATGAAATACACTTACAGTGACAGATTGTTGTTAAGGTATCTGTTTCCTCCCCACTGGAGTATTGGAGCATGACTAAAGCAAGAACATTGTATAAAAAGATTTTTTTTTGAGCAGGGGGTGGCATGAAGTTCAGCACTGAGTGGCGTTTTAAGTTCTGAATGAATAAATGAATGGATGGATGAACATTGCTGTGGGAAAGTTTATCTAGTAGCAAGGTGCACCATTCTGGAAAGAAACCAGACTTACAGGCTGCTTAAGAATGTTGGTAGAGGCTGGAGAGATGGCCTAGTGGTTAAGAGCACTGGCTGCTCTTGCAGAGGATCCAGGTTCCTTTCCCAGCACCTGTACAGCAGTTAACAGTCATCTGTAACTCCAGTTCCAGGGGATCCGACTCCCTCTTCTGACTTCCATGGGTATTTTATGACACTAGTGCACTTATATGCATGCAGGCAATACACTCATACATATAAGATAAAAATAAATAAATCATGGGCAGCAGGCCCTAATCTTAGCCAAAGAACTATTGGCAGCTGATTGCTGTTGGTCGAGGAAGTGTTAATCTTTTTAAAGGGAGGGACTCTAGGTAGGATGCTTAGACCTCAGTAAATGAACTTGCGCTGGCAGATGTCTGGGAACACTAACTTGACTCGATAGACCTTAACGCAAATGACAGAATGCATGAAATCCAGTGTGTGTGTGTGGGGCGCTATGGGAGGGTGCCAGTGGGGAAGCGAGTATAAAAGTGATTAAGATGCTCTGTATGAGGGGCTGGAGAGATGGCTCAGCAGTTAAGAGCACTGACTGCTCTTGCAGAGGACCCGGGTTCAAATTCCAGCACGCACATGGCGCCTATGAACCATTCCAGTTCCAGGGAAATCCGAAGCCCTCTTCTGACCTCCACGGCATTGCGCGACACAGGTGCACTCACATACATGCAGGCAATACATTTATACACATAAAATAAAAATAATAAAATATTTAAAAGATGTTCTGTATGAAATACACAAAATTTTGATAAATTTATAATAAATAAATGAATAA